AACTGGAGACCTGTCCAGGTGTCTCTGGTCAACTGGAGACCTGTCCAGGTGTCCCCTGCCTTCACCCAAAGGCAGTGAGGACAGGTTCCAGCCCCACCCCGACCCTGATTAGGAACATGGAGGACAGGAGGAGGATTTTTCTTTATAGCAGGAAACAGACATTTAATTATAAAACATGATTTATTTTATGTTAATCTGAATCAGTTTARTGTTGTTTGTAAATATATTTGACAGTTTTGTAGGAATGAACACGTTTGTCATGTTTGTTCAAAATAAACCTGCTTCTTATGACTTCTGTAACATGTTTTAAATAAAATATTATCAGTAAAAACCTCAAATCATGTCCTTTCTAATAATTATTAGAACTCTAGAAGAACTTTAACTCAGCAGAGTTTCTCCCAGGATTTGTTTTTAACCCTGGTGGTGACCTCTCATGTGGGGTTTGACTAAATCTGGTTGTCCTCAAAACATTTTGGTTGTCCAAAAAATATCTCAATAAAAATATAATTTAATAAGTAGGTTATATTGTTCTGTTTACAAAGTGTAATATATACAAATGTTGTCAGTCAGCAGGTTGACAGTTTTAGGAGCTGCTTGAGGAGAACTTCGTTCTCCTCCTCATCCTCTTCTTTGAAATAGAGATAAAATCCAACATCCAACATCCATAAGCTTTCTGCTTACAGGTCAAACACTTTTATTTAAATAGGAGTAAACTGTGTACTTATTAAAAGTTACAGTTTAGTGTTCTTAGGACTGAAGACTTTCTGAGGAAAGAAGTTCTTTTCTATAATTTGAGTGTTTTCAACTGAGGAGCTTTGATATATTTATTTAAAATAAATTATAGCAGAGGAAGTTTTCTGCACAGAAAAAAAACATACTGGTTTTTTAACCAAACTGACAAGTTTCTCCAGTAAAGTTATTGTGTAATTTAAAGTCATTGAAACACTTGGTTAAATTTAGAAAGTATTATGATTAACTACAAACATCTGAAGCTGACTCAGAGAACTCTGTGATTTTAGAAAAAATAAAAGTCAAATGTAGACACGTCTTTAAAAGACCCCCCTCCTCCACTCCACCACCCCGCGCAGCTGCGGTCAGCACACCTCCACTCCACCCGTGTGATTAATACTGATTTTTTGCGCAAATTATGAATTTTTGATGCTCATTAAACACGTTAATCGTGTGAAGGGGTTGACATGATGTATGAACTTTAAGTCCCGGGCCGGGCTGGTCAGAGCCGAGCTACAGGTGGACAGGTTCAGCTGCAGGTGGACATGTTCAGCTGCAGGTGGACAGGTTCAGCTGCAGGTGGACATGTTCAGCTACAGGTGGACATGTTCAGCTACAGGTGGACATGTTCAGCTGCAGGTGGACATGTTCAGCTGCAGGTGGACATGTTCAGCTGCAGGTGGACATGTTCAGCTACAGGTGGACATGTTCAGCTGCAGGTGGACATGTTCAGCTGCTGGTGGACATGTTCAGCTGCAGGTGGACATGTTCAGCTGCAGGTGGACATGTTCAGCTGCAGGTGGACATGTTCAG